CAACATCACCAGAACAGAAGCACATAAGCTCATTTCTCCAACTCCTGTGAATCTCATAACTTCAAATTCTTCAATTATTTTTTGAACTTACTGGGTCTTTACTCTTAATCTACTGATATTTCCCCCTCCTTCCTTCAACCAAAGACCAAACCAGTTGGAGTTGGATGCACTTCTGTTGACAAATGTATAAAATGGAACCCTTACTTTCTTCCAGAATGCATAATCCTGCATCAGATTTTTGGCATTTATTGTTTAAGTACTTAAAGGTGGTGCTTAGAACATTATCCAGCATTATCATACAATCTGTATATACACACACCACCAAAACGGAAGATAACTTTAGTGGTTATGACACGGAAATTCCATGAATCACCACAATACCCAGAAAAGTATAGGCCAATATACTTTACCAACAGGGAAACACCTTGGAAAAATCATAATCAAAAGACTACTAAACTCCACTGAAAACAATCAGTTACTATCAGAAATACTAAACAATTCAGAAAAACAAACCATCACCTAAGCAGACTCACAGAAATAATAGTGAAGAACATAAATATAAACTGTTGCACTGCAGCTGTCTTCCTTAATGTTCAAAAAGCCCTTGACTTGGTCTTGCATGATGGGATCAGCTACATAGTGGCAAAATTCATAATTCCAACAATATATATATATATTTCATACATCTTAAATAAATGAATAAGAAGAAGTAACACAGTCAAATATTTCTGTTTATCTGCCAGATTGCCTCAGGACTCTGTCATAAGTCCTCTTCTCTATATAATTTATATCAATGATATGAACTTACCAACTTTGTAACCATTTTGTACTTGTTATAGTTTTCACACTATAACTTTTAATACAGTACATGTATCTTCACAAAATTTGGCAGACTTTCAGTAAACATTACAAGTCTTTTGTACACAAAAAATCATGTCTTTTAATAAGTATTTTTACTAAAGATTTTTCTGTGAATATATTGTCTTTTTTTACTAGTCCAAGTGCAAAGTGATTTGCATGTTAAGATTAAAAATACTTATCTTCATCTCAAAAATCTCAAATTTCATTTATTTAAACTCTAATACCTCATAAATAAACTTCAAATGTTTTTTTCAGTAAAACTTTATATTTTATGTTATTATTTCTACCTTAACTCTATACAAGGTTCTTTTACCAAAAAAGAAATTTGAATTAAATTTAAGTTATCATTTTTTTCTTTCTAGAATGATGTTAAATTGTAAAATGAAACTACACTTGTTTATCTTAAATAGCATTAAACTCATAATAGTACACATATATTTATACTTCAGTTTTATTGCTTTATTGCTCTTTGAACCATGTCAAACTAATACTCCTGCCGCAAAAGTCGTAATTCAAATCACTTGGCAAACATGCAGCTCACGTTACCCTATAGAATTACATAACACACAGGCTACTTGCAAGCATACCTCATAAAATATTTTAATTATTATTGACATAATTCTATATTTTACCTAATCTAGCCTAAAAAGTTTCTAATTTTTACATTTTAGTTACTTTTATAATAACAAATAAAAAATAAGAACACACATGAAAAATGCGAAATACAGCACTTATGTGGATCTTTTTTTTTTTTGCTGTCAACTGTTGATGACACTTAACCATACTTTTTTATACTAACGGTACTACTGCACTAAATAATTTTTTACTTAATTAAATAATGTATACCAAAGAACACAGAATAATAACAAGTAAAAAGCAGACAACATCCCATAACTATCACCATATTTGTGGCTTTCTAACTAAGTGACAAGAGCTGTTAAAATTTCATCTAAGCTCGTCGATGGTTTCCAATGGGAATAAAGCTTCAACTGAAAGCAAAGTTGACAATTCTCTGTACAGAAAACAACACAATATAATACATCATTTGACAGATTAAAACCTTGTCATGATGAACAAATTGATGTAGTTTCTATGGGATCAAGAATTGCACCATGTTTAGCTATTTTTAAGTTTCTATGAGAAAAGATGCATCCTGAACAGCTTAAGCCATTATATTAAAGAAACATTGATGAAACCCTTGTTGTTGTTTTAAATATATCTGAATATGAATTTCAGAACTACTTATATAATCAACATATTAGTATTAAACTTATAAGCCAGGCTTTCTTAAGTGTCCATTTTGTAACTGGGAAATGTTGAAAAAAAAATTTCTCCTTTAAGTATGATCTATACAGTTCTTGAAAATATAACTATTGAAAAACCTTGTACCAAAAATCTAGCACTTGGGCTACATTCTGTCTTATTATTCCACCTTGATGAAGATGACTACTGTTTTTCACATATGTTCTATTTTACCAGATTATATTATACCTAGAATAAAAAGGCAAAAAGCAAAAGAATTGTAAGAGGGTTTTCCTTCTGCTGCCTTTTTTTCTGTGATAATATTTAAACTGCCGACTTTGCTTACCATTCATTCTAAAACTACAAATATAAAACCCCTCACCAAAATGCACCTCTGTTTATTAGCAAAGACAGGTGTGGAAATTAATGTGATCTCCTTTACATTTCTACAGTAAATCTAGCTACAGCAGGCTAATAAGAATAGTTATTTTGTATTAGACTACTTTCACAAATCATAAACGTAAGCTTTTATTATAATGTGGCATTATACTAAGAAGTGAAAACACATATAAAAGGAGTTGAATTAAAATGGTGATCTCCTTTACCCATTCTGTGAACTCCTTTACATACATCTTACCATGTCCCCAATTATTTGTTTTTATACACAGACCCCTAATTACACAAAAGTATGAGTTTAAACTTCATAAAAACGTGTTTTAAATGTCGATTTTTTCCATAATTCAGCTATGCAGATATTGAAAATAATATTAATTTTTTTCTATTGGGTAAGGATTTTTTACAAATCAGGAAGAAAAAAATTCTTACTTAGAACATTTATTATTATCAAGTTTGTTAACAAAAATACAAACAAACTGAAGAAAAGAGAAGAACATTGATGTTAAACGAATATGCATCGTGATTCATCCTCTTTTTTTTTTAAATATATATCTTTTAGTCTCAAAAATATGTGCTGTGGTCTTTCTTTTATGTATTGCATTTGGAGCATCTTGTTTCAATGACCAGCAGTAATGAGCCATCATGCTGATGTTCCACCTTCTCTGATACTCCTCTCCATTTCCCTAATATCTTGACAAAACCTTTCCCTTTGTTTTTCGCTGACAGCACTGAGATATTCAGGGAAATAGTCAATATGCGAGTGTAAGAAATGAACTTTTAAGCTCATATTACAACCTAACTCTTTGAATTTATCAAACATGATATTGACAATTTTTTCATAATTTGGGTCCTTGTTGTTTCCTAAAAATTTGTTAATGAAATCTTTAAAGACAATCCATGTTTCTTTTTCAGCTTTCCTCATTGTCCTTTTGAACTGTTCTTCCAAAGTCAATTTCCTAATCTGAGGCTCAACAAAAACCCTTCTTTAAGTTTTGCTTCTGAAAGAGCTGGGAATTGCCCACATAGATACTTGAAACAGTTTCCATCTTTCTCTAAGGCCTTTACAAACTGCTTCTTCAAACCCAGTTTTATGTGAAGTGGTGGTAATAGGACTTTCTTTGTGTCAACCAAACTTTCACATTCAATGTTTTTCAATCCTGGTGTCAGGCTGACTGTGCATGGCCATTGCTTCTTTATCCAATGCTGATTTCGTGCTCTGCTGTCCCATTTACACAAAAAAAGTGGAAAATTTGTAGAATTGGGTTGTTGACCCAACAGCATACAAAACACTTAAGACTCCACAATGTAGCCAACCATGTTCTTTGTATTTGACCTTATTAAGAAGAAGTTCGAGATTTTCATACATTTCCTTCAAGTGATCCGAATGAGCAATAGGAACAGATGCATATATGTTACCATTGTGAAGGAGAACATCTTTTAGACTTCTTTTGGAGGAATCAATGAACAATCAGCACTCACTTAGTTCATTGACAGCAGCTCCTAGCATTGGTGTTAATTCAACAATATTGTTGCAATAAACCAGTAAACCTTCTTGCAAAAAATATGGTATAAACTCTTTCTCACGATTTCTATAGCAGTAAATGATGTTCCTGGAAAAAGTAAGTTCTCAGCCCAAAGTCTGGAACCTAAAATCTCTGAAAATCCTTTGGAAGGCCCAAATCTCTCACCAAATCATTAAGTTCA